ACAGTACCTCCCCAACAGAGGATCAAAAAGCAATTTACAATGATTTAAGCTTCACAACATCCTGTGAGGCAAGAGCTAATGTCTTACTACAGAATGGAAAACTGTTGAATAAAGTTATTTACCCAGTGTTTCACAGGAAAAAAAAAAAGTAGAATGCAACCTAATATATCATTTTCTTGATCTCTTATTCTCACTCAACATTCAATCACTAGTCTTGCACCATTATGGTTGTGAACATTAAAAGACAACGTGTGTAGAGGAAGCAGCTTAAACCTCCCTGCTCATACCCCTCAAAACATAAAATCTGCACGTGGTTCAAATCGTAAATTTTCAGGGAAGACATACATGACTAACTTCATAATTCCTGGTTGATATTATACATCCCTTACGGCTTATTTAAAATAAAGGGGAAGTGACCAACTCTTAATAGTAAATGGTTTCATGATCTATTACCTAGGAAAATTTTTCTACCAATGATAAGAATTCCCAAGCCCATAGATAATTAAGTCTAGGGAGTTAATAGCAGACAAGCATGTCTAGAACATGTTCCTTTCATTTCAAATTAAGAGTTGTTGCATTTGTCAATGCAAATGACTATAACAGTAACACAGTGATGAAACCAGGATTAAAAATCAAGGAAGAACCAAATCGATTAACAGAAGAAAGGCAGAAGGCACTTAAAATATCCACAACAGTTTTCAGAAGAGAGACTTTGGTTCAACTGGTCAGATACTCAAGAGCTATCAATCCTACTCTCGAGGAGGCAAACAAATTATTTGCTTTTCCCAGAAGCAGATACATGTTTGAATAGTTGCTTTCTGAACACCCAAATAACAAAAAGAATTGCAACAACTTCAAATTTGAAAACTAGAGCCAATGATCAAGCAATTAACATGCCCCTGAAGAATTATATTCTGACATTACTGAGTCTGGGGCCTTTTCCAAGTAATTGGGGAAGTTAAAGAGAGGACAATTCCTTATCCGTACCAGAAGACTAGAAAAAATAGGTTGAAGTTTGTATGTCCAGGAGGACTAATCTCCCCTATGACAGTTTTTCAGAGTTTATACAAGAGCCTATATTGCAAAAAAGTTTTGTTTGGTTGGTTTAAAAAAAAAAAAAAAACAACCAAAAACCACAACTTCCAGATTTGCTAGTGCTTGCCATCAGATCACCCATGAAAGAAGCCATAGTAAAGATAAATAGGACAAGCTTGTAGAAGTCTTCAGATTCAAGGGTACAGACACATTACCTCTTGGTGTCAGCTTGAGAAGTCACTACTCTTCCTCATTCATTCCTTTCTAAGATATTCCAGCTGAACTATTTGCATAGTTGTTCCCTGGTTGAAGCTAGCAGTTTTAAACATAGATCTTCATTAATAAACACAGGTAGGCAGAAATGTGGGTGGACAGCAATTTCACAACCAATACCTCATTTTAACTGAAAAAGGGCAACAAATCAGCCATACAAACAGCTCATCTAAAAGAAAAATTTAAGTAGTAAACTTCAAGAAGAGAAAGCAATGGGAAGCGGGTAGCATTCTGGAGACTGCAAACACTTCAGCTGCATAGGCACAGGAGAAAGCACAGGCATCTGAGTTCTAACCTGCCGAAGCAAAACTTTTTTTCCTATACACCTTTTAGTGATCTGAAGTATCACAACAGTAATAAGATTGGTACCTGCTAATAAGAAACCATATTAAAAATCAAAATCACTAAAGGCCAGTATCATTCTTTTTCATGCAGGAATAATCTACAGTTACCTGACTACTACTATAGGTGTTTGGTAGATGAAAAGTAAATGTAGGAAAGGAGGAGGGAAGATCTTGTTGCCACTGCAATGCCTTCATCATTTCTTAGACTGTAGACATGAATCATTTAGTTAAGACCCATCACAATTCAGTGAAAGAGAAAGCATAAAAAAACCCAACGTAGAAAAAATTAGAAAGTGTTGCTTGCCACCCACTCTGCAGTAAGAGCTTCTCTCCCAACTTGATTCAGCAGCTATCATTCTGCTTTGATGTCAGTAACACTACAGCTACACTATCATTGCGATGTAAAACAACAGGACAGAGAAGGGGAGAACTAAAGTCTGGCTGGAGACACTGGTCAAAAACTGTCCAAAAAAGCTCCCCAGCCTCCAACCTACAATACAACCTTTAATAATTCTGTGCCCTGCCTCCCCCTGCACACTTTTGTAAAAGAAACACTCTCTCTGAAAAGAAAAAAAAAATAATCCAGAAAATGCCAAAGCTGGATCTTTATTGGTGCTCTGTGTGCGTGCATGCTTTCTTGTAGTGTACTGTGAAAATATTACTGAAAACATTTCTTTGATAGACTTACAAGGTCAGAATCGAGTAATAGTCTGAAGTTCCCCCCACCTCCTTCCCTTATGTTCAAGAGTTAGCATTACACTATTAGCTCTCCCAAAAGTATTTTTGTTTTCTAACTACCTAGTAGGTTTAAAAAAAAAAAACAAACCTCGTATGTCAAAAATTTCAGGTGCAATAGTGAGGAAATGCTGAAATATACTGTAAGAGCAATATTAAGTGAATACACCTGCTACTGCCAACCATCGGAAAGAGGCTTCTATTTCAATGAGTCATTGAAAGTAAAACGTAAATGTAAAATCCCGTTTTACATAAAACTTCACAGGTATTCAGAAAACAACTATTTTAAGTGTCCATTTGAAAACTCTGTCTCAGAACTTCCTCTTCAGTGGGTTTTTTTTCCCCTCCCCCCTTTTAATTTCTTTGATTTGGAGGTGGTTTTTCTTGTCACTTAGTAGATGCTGCCCCAATTTTAAAAATAGATGTCAAACAACTTCATGTTAATAACTGTTTACATAACTGTAGTCTCTAATAAAGCTTCAGTTATTCTATTTACCTTCAAAGCAATTTTATTTTTGAAGACTGCACTTAAACATCAAAAGATCTTTTAATAAAAGCACAAAGTCATCCAAGAGCAGTGAAAACAACTGATGAATTTTTAAACAAAACTACTGATATAGTTGCTTGTCTGCTTGTTTTTTAATTCATGAGTTCATTTTAAACACATTATAATCACAAGAAGGGATCTCTTATTATATGTTGTATACAAAACAATCTCTAGACTACTGTGATGTTATTTCAAAAGGCAGTGGAACACCTAGTTTGCTGGCACATATGTTTCATCATAGCAGGAGTTCACAATGACAAAGAAATTTTTTCATCCCCTGAGCCTTATTATAATTCTATAAGCTGTTACACCCTCCTCTCAAAGATTTTGAAACAGAATTATTAAACTGTATCAGCTTCAATAATTCAGCTCCTCTACTTCAGGCACCTGTTCAGTCAACCATGTGATATCATTCTACATCAGTAAGAAACTGTATGGCACCATCAACTTCAGACAAAAGGTGCACATTTGAAAACAGTTGCCAAACACTGTTCTGCTTACCACAACACTGCAGTCATAACAACCACTTCTAAAAAGTGGAGGTAGGCAGACTGAGGAGTTGCTAATAGAAGACAATCTAGGTTTTCCCCGTTTCTCTCCCAGATCACAGCTTAAGTCTAGCTGCACTCATCCTGTCTAGAACTAAAAAGAGAATTGTTAAAAGATTAGTGAAAACACCCAAGCTGTAAACAAAGACCAAATCATAGCCACTACCTACAAGCGTGATACTCCAGAAGAGATTTAACACCACAGCAACAGAATCTCATCTCTACTAAGACAGCAGGTAATAACCTGCATTGCTTACCACAAGCTAACATGGGTTAACAATCTTATCCTTGTGAGGACTGACACATCCAGACTTACGTTTTCGTTCTACCACCGATGAGGACAGATAATGAAACTTTATGTATTTGGCATTTTCAGTGCAGTTTCATGCACGGCTTACAGTGGGGCAAGTCAGAACTGCTTCTCAGAAAGTAGTCTCATGCCAGCTCTAGATCTGACACGTGTCACCTACACCAGGGACCTAAGCCTGTCAAAAACAAATCCCTTTCCTTCCCACATTAGCTTCTAACAGGCTCCAAAAGCTGTTCCAGACCTGTTAAATGGTCAAGCAGTCCTGGAAACATA